ATATTACAAAAGGAAACAAAAAAAACAAAAAGAAGTAAAAGGAAACTTCATGTCTAAATAACTTTTGGACGAAATCTAATTTGCGTTATAAACCAAAGTAATTACTAAAACTACATCAGCGGTTAATTCTTTCTGATATTTTATCCGGAAAGATGACCCTTTCATTTCATCCAAGAAACGTAACAGGGATATACCCTGAAGTATAACCAAATCCTTCGAGTTTGACATCGAGAACGCAAAAAGATACATTATTGAATGCTATTTTCGAAATCGTATATCTACGTGAATAACAATTCAATTGTAATAAATATAGTCTAAAACGTTTCTTCATACCTTCCCCGAAACAATCCATAACGACAAATTTCGCGCTGCCACTTTTAAGAACCTTAAAATTCTGATCGAAGGTCCTATGTTATAAAGCGCTGAGAATCGATGCGTGCAATACGAATAATATCCAAATTCCGACCAAACCAAATCACTTCGTGTTATCGCGAATGAACAAAAGCATAGCGGCCCATTATTCCGCAGATATTCAACTGTCTAGGACAGTCACTCTTGTAGAGCAGGAATGATTTTAAGAAAATTGACTATTGGCCAGCTTTTCAGGCCAAATATCCCACAGTGCGCCTGCGCGAATTCCGGCAAGAATTCCCATCCGATTGTGACGGCCACGTCGTCGTCGTCGTCGTCGTCGTCGTCCTCAGCGGCGGCGGCGACGGCGGCGGCGGCGGCGGCGGAGGAGAAGGATCCTGAGACTGTCGATTTTTCCCTGTTTACGCCGATTCGCCGGCCGTATTATTTACGAGGCCGGCAGATACGAGCCGGGTTGCCATCGATTCCCCGGCATCCAACGAACGGATTACAAATCGCGGTCATGCAAATGCGCTTTTTATCGAACCGACTCTTCGAAATGCACTTCACGCCGCCGCCGCGTCGGCTGCGTTACGAGGAAAGTGCATCCGGAATCGGCGATGGGCCCGACGCTCGCAGCATCCGCGGCACTCCGTCGCAAAGCGGTATTTCAAGTATAAAGTAAATTACACCGCCATCCCGCCGCCCCCGCAATTCCATCAGCGCCAAATACTTGTCTGAAATTCCGCCGATGCTCTCCCCCCTCTTTTCGGACGAAATTCGCCAATAGTGGACGGCGAAGAAGGACGAAGACCGCGGAATATATCGATACGTCGAAAAATACGTCAGGACGATTCAGTCGCTAGGCCCCCCCTCCCCCCTCCCCCGAAATCGACTCCCTCCGCGACGATGTCGCGTTCCTCGGGGTCGACATTTTTTTTTATTCGACGTCGCGGCACAGCTCGGCGGACCTGCCATATAAGTCGCTGCGAATCGACGCGAGACGAGTCGACTCATCGCGGCGGAGGACCTTCCGAGGGCGGGAGGGCCGCCGCGACTTGAAGAGCGATTCTTGCGACGATCTTCCCTCATGTGCGCGATATTCGATCACGACGTATATCGCCCTCAAAAGCGTCCATTTGGCGAATGTTTAACATATTTATGGCATGTAGCGCGCACCTCGCTCACCATCTCGTTCGCCTGCCCTCTCTCCTCGCGCTCGCCCTCTCTCGTTCCATTTCTATCCACGAAAAGCCGATCGCCCTGCAGCGGGAGGCATAAAGTTTCGATGTATTGCGCGCAATCGCTTGTAAACCTCGCCTATAATACACGCCTATCTAGGACGGGCCAATGTCTATAACCGATAACCGATACGACTCTCGCGCGCGCGCGCGTATGTGTGTCTGTGTGTGCGTGTGTGTGCGCACATACGCGCAGCACGTGTGTAAATTTGAGCTGGTGCGCGTGTGCCTGTTTGCGCGTCGAGTGCAGCAATCGCTGCATCCGGCTATGCGCTTTACTTTATTGGCTTTGCATTCGCGCGCATTTACTCTGTGAATAATAACCGCTACTGTAATTGCGATCGACAGATACCGCTGTTTTAACGTCGCTGTGTGCTATCGGTTTTATTAAAGTTCAGACGGAACGTACCACGTGCCAGCCGAGCGGTCGGTCCGCGCGTTGCCGATTGATCCCCGCGGTAACGCGAGAGAGACTCCTCGCGAGGAGCGAACTTTTCGGAATGACCGTTCGCCCTTTCAAGGGTTTGCTCGCGCCCGCACGTGTCGTTTCTCCGCCTGCATGTAGTCGGCAAACATCAAATTGTTGATGCACAGATCGACGGTGAATTCGATGATCGCGCGTCGACCATTGTCGAGGAAGGGCGTAAGAATTGAGAAACCCTTTGCACTCGAGAAATACTTCCATGTGTTTTTTTCCTACTCGACAATTATAAATATAATCTCCAAATTCGTAGAAAAAGCTATAAAAGAAGATCTTTATATCCCTTATGTTGTCGCCTCATTTTATCATTCCCTGTCTCTAAATCTGTTTCATGCCAGCACACCTGGCATTCCGAGTGCCAAGAGTCAACAACGGATATCCTTGTGACATTTCTCGTCCCTTTCAGGTTCGCGTTAAAAATATATCCATATAAAAATATAAAATGCTTTGTTGTCTAAGTTTGACTTTTATAAGGAATTGTAAACTATTTATTTTCATCGTTTGTCAATTCTGGTGCGAAGCATTCCTATCGCAAACATTTTTTTACGAACAATCGATGGATTATATTCTCGTTCAAGCAGATAGGGTGTGAATCCAACGTTAATCGAGTATCTGCTTATTTGAAATGTCATCCGATTATATCCCGAATGTTCGGACGAGTAATGAGTTGAAAAGATTGGATTATCAGGTGACATTTGAAAGAAAAAACACTAATACTAGCGAACACCAGAATGAACAGTAGAGAGGCCAGATAGAGGCAGTGCTGGTTTGCAAATCCTTGGATTATAATGACAGCATTAACAAGAAGCTGTACACACGCGGGGTATCCGGATATCTCGCCTTTAAAAGTGGATTATCGAGCGTTCAAGTCCAAAGTCGAGCAGAATGGGTGGATTATTGCGAGATAAGATAATCAATCGGCGGCGCGCGCTCATCGATCGAGGCGTAGCGCGGTGAAACGCTGACGTAATCGGGCACACGTATGCCGCTCGTATCTTATTAATATCGCTAATATGATCCGCACACGCTCTTGGCTTACCAATCAGCCCCGGCCGCTATCAAGAGGGTCTCGCTACAAAACAAACCCGCCGTCGCGCCGCGCCACTAGCCAGCGTGAAACAGCCCCGGCCTCGCAAAGCCGTCCGCCGGATCACTCTATTAAACTGACGGCGAGTGCCGGCAATATTGAGTTAGGTGGCAATACCCTAAATTGCTGCAGTAGCCCTGTGCACGGCCTTTACTTCACCGCACGTCGCTGCAATCGATCGCGCCGGGACAACGATAATTGCCGCGCAGCGCGCGCGCAAGACGCACGGTCGCGGCGCTTCATCGTCGTCTTCGGCTCGATGCAGGCCTGCGAATTTCGCGAATAGCGCGCGAGTTTGCTAGTGTTGTAAAAAAAAAGGCTCGTCGGAGCGCAACACCTAAAAGGGAAGAATAATGTCACGAGGATCACCCGTTGTTAATCCTTTGCACTCGGAATGCCAGCACTGCTGGCATGGATGTCTATTCCGGCAACTCGGAATGCTAGGTGTACTGCCGTCAAAAAGATTTAAAGATAGGAAGTAATATTAAGTGTATGCAAAAGTTTTAGTCTTTTCTTTTCAGCCTTTTGGTGTAATTATTTCAAATTTAAATATTTTCCTGCCGTTTGGCGGTTTTATAAAGTTGGTATTCAACTTTCTAAAACGTCATTCATTATGATCCATTGGGGCACATAACCTTAAAAATAACAGTTGATACAATGAACGGCGGAAAACTTTATACTCGACATTGCATTCGATATGAATTTCAGCAAGGAAAAGACGCTGCTAAATCATCTATTTGCTCTATTTTTGGAGCAAATATTGTGTCCCACAATACGCGGAAATATTACTTTCGTCGCTTTAAAAGCGATGATTTTGACGAGTGATCGTCCGCGCTCTGAACGCCACGAAAGCTTGAGTCGACAATTTGGAAGCGTTGTTGAATGAAAATCCATCCCAAACGCGAGTAGAACTTGCAGAACAGCTCGGAGTTGACTAAGCAACAGCTTCAAGGCAACTGCATGACATGGGAAGAATTCAGAAGCTCGGAAAATGGATGCCGCATGAATTATCGCAAAACAGCATCATCCGCCGGTTGAGTACGCGCGTCTCATTGCTTTTCAGACGGCGCAACAAAGATTCTTTGTCGAAAATTGTAACTAGCGATGAAAAATGGATCGTGTATGATAATCCTAAACGCAGACATTCGCGGATAAACTCCGGATAGCTTTCTACATCAGTGGCAAATATAAAGTTTCGCGTCGCTCATTGGTATCATTTGTTATTTTTAAGGTTATGTGCACCTTAAATCATAATGAATGGCGTATTAGAGTAGAATTCAATACCGACCTCACGAGAACACAAACTGGCGAGAAAATACTTCAATTTAAAATATTTTCTTTGGGAGCTGAAAGAAAGCTAAAATTTTTGCATACATTTAATACGAGTCGAGTTGGACGGACGGAATTCGAGAGAGTTCGGGATTACACATGGCAATCTAATTGCCTTGCTTTTTCAGGATTCTTTTCCAGGAAACGATTTTGCTAAATCTTTTAACATTTCGCCGATCTTTTATTCATGCAAATTTATTTTTAAATGTGCACTCGACTTGCAGTTTAGCTTATTGATGCACTCGTTCTTCAAAGTTCGTTAGCCTTCGTCCCAAATTTAAAGCTGGCTCAGAGTTTAATTTATTGGACTGGTCATCTAGCTACAACTCAATGAATTATATCTGTCACCTGATTCACTTGGTATTTCAGTCAGAACGTCAGAGGCAGAACTGTTTCTATTATGCAGCTGAATGAAGCTGTCGCTGTTTGAGACAATGTCTATATAGAGCGTACCAGTCAACGCTTGATCGTGCGTTAATGAAATCTAACGAGACGTTACTCGCGGTTGCAGTGGAGACCCAGCTCGGCAAGCAGAGTACCCTAGAATTCCGCACTCTCCACGTGGGCGGATACCTGCACGCGGGCGAGGACATACCGCACTTTGTGGGTCAGCTGCAGCAGATCTGGTTCAACGGCTATCCGTATCTGGAGATTGCGCGCAGCGCCGGCAATCACGAGTCCTCGCATCAGGGCGTCACACCCATCATCAGGGTGAGCGGCAAATTCGGCAAGAGGAACCATCCGGTGCATCATCCGGTGACCTTTACCTCCAAGCACACCTTCGTCGGGCTGCCGGTACTCAAGGCGTACGTGGAGACCAACATCTACTTCCAGGTGAGATCCATCCCTAAACATCTTATCTCTAGTTGATTACTCGTGTCTGCCAGTGTGAATATTACTCGCCGCAGTTCCGAGGCTCAAACAACCGAGCTTCGGTGACAATATTCGCTGTCGTTTGAAAGACATCACAGCCGTCACGATCGCATCTTACCTTCCTCCGCTAATCTTCCTTCTCGCGATATTCTCCGGCAACACAATCTCACGAGTATCTCCGTCTTCCTCTTTCCCCGCGGAGGAGCCAAAACCGCTGCGTCTCGACATCTCATACGTATACACACGTTACTTTTCAGTTTAAAACACGCGAAGCGAACGGCTTGATCCTTTATAACGCCGGAAGGGAACGTGACTTCATCGCGGTCGAGCTGGTTAACGGACACATCCACTACGTGTTCGATTTGGGCGACGGGCCCGTCAGGGTCAGGGACGCCTCCAAGTCCAAGTTGAACGATGGCAAGTGGCACGCCGTCAGCATCGGCAGACCCGCCTCGAAGAGGCACACTCTTGCCGTGGACGACCACGTGACCGTCGGTAATAGCCCGGGCAGCAACGAGAATCTCGATCTCGACGGCATCTTGTATATCGGTAAGTAAAATTGCTGTAATTCGCGAAGACGCAAAACAAAACTCGCACGTACAGAAAGATGCATATCGCACTCAAGTAAATTTTACGAGTGTATAAAAAGTACCGGGAAGACGAAATATTTCGAAAATTAAGCATTTTAGAAACAAATATTTCAGATAAAAGTTGTATGGTTTTAAGGGGAATGTAAAACAACTATATTATTTTGTTCAGATTTTGTACAGATGGCGTCACTTTCGAGATATACACAGATCATTACTTTTCTTAAATGGAAATCCAATTTTTTATTGTATCATCCTTTTCTACCAATTAAGTTGAACAACTTTTGTTTGAAATAGTTTTTTATTTGCCTAATATTTCTCAAGATATTTAAGAAAAATTTAGTAACTTTTACAATATTTAATATTTAGTTATTTTTCATTATTAGATTGTTTTTCAATATTTACGATACCTCTCGCTAACTGTTTGTCAGAAGAAGAAACATTACTAAACTTTTTTATTTTATTTGATTTCAAGAATATATTGTTACAGTATATATATATATATATATATATATATATAGTGCCCTAACTTTTAACTTATTATTAATTTATTGACCTTTGGAAATTTCAAAATCATCAAATTAACAAAAGGGCGCTATTGTAATAATATTTTCTTGAGACTAAATAGAATAAAAAACTCTAGTACCGCTTTTCTTCCGAAAATAGTTTACGAGATATCGTAAGTTAAATATTAAAAAAAGTTATCAAGTTTTTGTCAAATATCTCAAAAAATATTAGTCAAATAAAAAATGTTTCACACACAAAAGTTGTTCAAATTAATTGGTAGAAAAAGATGATATGATAAAAATTGAGGTTTTCATAACCAATGAATATACTTGTGAATATCTCGAAAATGGCGCCATCTGTAAACAAAATGATATAGTAGTTTTATATCTCTCTTAAACCATATAACTTTTGTGTGAGACATTTCTTTCTAAAATGCTTAGTTTTCAAGATACTTCTCCGTCCCGATATTTTTTATACACCCTATATATATGCTTTTTATTTCGAGTACTTCGTAAGTTTATCTATTCGCGCATCCATCGCAAGTTCGTCATAAGCATCAAACCTACTCAAAAGTCATTCTGAGTCCTAACAAGTGTCCTAATTTACTGTAAAACTTTAGTGAAGAATATTAAATTAAGACAAGAATAAATTAAACCGAACGAAGAATTCGGTTTGCTCTCTAGATAAAGCGCGAGCTTTGTAAGATTCTTGAAAAGAAGGTCAATTTTGCTCTCGAACACATTATAATGAGCATTCCAACATTTCTGATGAGAATATTTTAAGACTATCGGCAAGTAGATATTCCTGGTTGAAGAAAAGCCCGCTGCTTAAAAGAGGGAAGAAGCAAACTGAATTCTCCTCTTCGCAGTAGAACGATCCCTTTTTCTGTGCGCTCCCCGCGGCGGGATATTTTTTCACGTTTATCCAATTTGCAATTATAACAATCTGAGCGCGCGTTTGCGTGTACGTGCGCACGTACACGCACGCTCTCCCTCTATTTATCGCGCACGCACACGCGGTACAATTAATTAGGATTCCGTCCGGCGATCCCATTGGAGATATTGCTACGATGAAACAACAGCGTGTGCCCGATATTAATTTAATTTAATTAGTCAGTTGTAATGTACATCTGCAATCCGTTTACCGTATACATAAGTTCCGCTGCTGGCGCGTTCGATTCTTCATTAGACCACTGAATCATTAAGCATCTTCCTTTCGCTCGCGCTGTGTACAGTCACGTGCATTAATTCGCGCCGCGAGAGCAGAGAAGCATTGTTCCCCCATTCCGATTCTCATTTTCATCCGGCCGGAAATTGTTAGAAGAAGCCGTAAAAATGCAAACAATAGACACGTTCCCAAAACCGATGTGTGTTTCCAAAATATTGTAAAGAATTTTTTGGGCCACCGCACATGAAATAACATAGATATGCAAATGTACAGCACAAAATCGTCTCGACCAATGGGCGTCTAGAAAAAAGTTATAATATACTCTGTAAATCACCATGGCAACTTTTTCCTAAATGCTCATTGGTCGAGGCGGGTTTATACTATGCATATGCATCTATGTCATTTTGAGTGCGATGGCCCTTAGAGCGGATTCACACCTTGGCAGGAAAACAGAAAGAAGAACAGCAGAAACCAAGAGAGAGAGAGAGAGAGAGAAAGAGAGAGAGAGAGAGAGAGAGAGGTGCTGATAGCAAGCTCTCTCGCAAGAGAGAAACAGAGCGCGACTTTTTACTGGATGCTGCCTTTCTTTCTGCTTTTCTGTCAAGGTATGAATCCTCTCTTAGAATCGCCATGTGTTTGTTTACATTTCGCGCTAAAACCCGACTGGCTTCCGCCAGATGGCAGAGAATGACGGCCGGAGTGGGGGAGCAACATTTCTCCACTCGCGGCGCGAATTAACGCACATGACTGTACACTCGACTCGCTCGCGTTCGCGCATTGGTTAACCGATGTGAGGCGCACGTCGTACGTGAGAACATATAAGTTCAGCTGGCGCGACTCCGAGAACATCGAGGGAATATATCCGGTTTATTTGGGTATAATCAGTACGCGCGAATTTCGCTGCGTTTCCGTGCACGGCAAAATGGCGCGCGATATAACTGCAGCCGCGTCAGCGCTCGCGGTGGGGAGGGCGCGAATTCCGCGCGCATTTACGGCGGTGCTGTGTTGTCAATCGCGATGATGTTACACCTGCAGTAATTCCCTCGAAGCGCAGGCTTTATCTTGCCGCGCAAATAACCGAGTGATTAATAGCGCGCGATGTACCCGGGCGCGGTGCCGCTCGATAAGTTGCGACCGCCTTTCGCCGCAATTTGTCCGAATAAAATAACGCGCAGCGCGATGCGCGCTCTCGCACTCACGCCAATGTTAGCGCGAGGCTAATTAGTCCGCTATCGCGTGTCGGTTAACGCATTGAATGCCGTAACCCGCGCCCGGTGACCGGCACTCTCTTTATGACGCGCCATCGCGACTCGATGAAGTTCCGCAAAGTTCACCTTTAGAGTGTGAGCGGAAAGTCTTCTTGAAATTTGTGTGAAATCGTAGAAATAAATGTGAGTTCGTAGAAATAAATATTGTGAACTTAATTAAATAATACAATAGAATTTTAGATAATATTAAAATATATCAGAAAATACAAATTAAAAACGATTTTACGAATTTTTAGGAGGGACTTTAGTGATCCCATTTCGTCGTTTATGTTTCGAAAATAGGCTCCATATTCTAGAGTTTTAATTATGCAGCATTATTTCCAAGCGATTTTTCAACAGCCGCGGCCGATGGAGGAGACCGGTGAGACGGGGCGAAAGATGTACGCGTCGCAAATTCCATTCACGCGTATCTTTCTACCGTATCTTTCTATGGGAAAGAAATAATTATATGCAAAGAGTGCAACTGAATTTTCCGTTGCCTGGCAAGAAGGAGAGCAGATGGAAAAGTCGGCAGTTATAGAGGCAGAAAAACTTGATTTAATTGCCTTTGTTTTCAATCATCGCAGTTAGTTTTAATACAGCCAAATGCTCAGATGAGTGTTTTTTCGCTGACGATAATGGCGATATCGTTTCTCGTCGTCGAATTCTCGTCTGGTCGACGGTACTAATTGATACCTTTTTTCTGCGTGTGTCTGTCATCGATTAAGCTCTCGACGAAAGTCCCGAGACGAAACGCATACGTCGAAGATTCTGTTTTCCTGTAGCGTTTTAGTCGCGATAGGCGAAGCGGCGCCTCATAGCAGCATCACCAGATCATTTCAGTTTCAATTGGGATCGGTCTCGGTAAACGAAGCAATGTCGATTAAACACTCGGGCGGCCGCTTTTACATTCTACAACAAACGAAATGTGCAACACGTGTCATTACGCTGATCGTACCAATCACACTGAAAGAAAAAATGGTCACTACGAATTATAGTCATTTTTTGCACCAACCTTCTTCCTTGGTTGTTTTAACAAATAAGTGTTAGCAGCAAACATGCGAATAGATTTTGTGAGATATTTATTTTTACTTTTTTATTGGGGACTTGAATAAGTTCTCGCTGTTTCCCGACAGATGGTGTTATCTTAGCCTTTTTGCATCGGGCAATACTACAGCCAACTTCGTCGTGAAGCTCCATCATTAGGCTCGAAATGACAGTATATGTTATTCCGCCGAAGCGTAAACAACATATTTTTTCATAGCGTTAAACATGTCGAATTTCGTGCCAAAAAAGAGTATTTGCGGGGAATTTTACTGCATTACTTTTTTCAAAAAATCTGCAGTTGAAGCACATAGAATTCTTATGGAGACTTACGGCGACCATGCTCTGTCGGAAACAACATGCAGAGATTGGTTTAGACGCTTTAAAAATAATGATTTTGTTGACGATAAAGAACGCTCTGGCGCACCGAAAAAGTTTGAAGACGAAGAATTGGAAACATTACTCGATGAAGACCCATGTCAGACGCAAAATGAACTTGCAGAATCATTAGGAGTTGATCACACAACAGTTGCCAAACGTTTAAAAGCATTAGGAATGATTCAAAAGCAAGGAAATTGGGTGGGCCGTACGAATTGAAGCCAAGAGATGTTGAATGGCGTTTTTTCACGTACAGCTGCTCCAACGGCAGAAAAGGAAAGGTTTTTTTGCATCGTATCGTGACTGGCGATGAAAAGTGGATACACTACGATAACCCGAAGCGTAGAAAATCGTGGGGTGAGCCCGGCCATATATCAACATCGACGGCAAAGCCGAATATCCATGGTTCCAAGCTCATGCTCTGTATTTGGTGGGATCAGCTGAGTGTAGTTTTATGAGCTCCTCAAACCCAACGAAACTATCACGGGAGATCGCTATCGACTACAATTGATGCGTTTGAGCCGAGCATTGAAAGAAAAACGGCCGCAATACGAGGAGAGACACGACAAAGTAATTTTGCAGCATGACAACGCTCGGCCATATGTTGCAAAACCGGTCAAAACCTACTTGGAAACGCTCAAATGGGAAGTCCTATCCCACTCGCCGTATTCACCGGACATTGCTCCTTTCGATTACCACTTGTTCCGATCGATGACTCATGGCCTGGCTGAGCAGCACTTCCATTCTTATGAAGATGCCAAGAAATGGGTCGATTCGTGGATAACCTCAAAAGATGAGTCGTTCTTTCGACATGGTATTCGTATGCTGCCAGAAAGATGGCAGAAAGTAGTGGCTAGCGATGAACAATGCTTTCAATGACATGTTCTTTACTAATTTTTTTAAATAAAGCATTCATTTTCACGAAAAAACAGCGAGAACTTATTCAAGTCCTCAATAAGTCAAACATCGTGTCTAATTGACGAACGATGCGAGCCGATTTTAAGCGGAGTCCCTTCCGTTTGACGATTGAACCGCATAAACCCGATGGAAAGATGCTCAATGAGGATTGATATGAGCGATTTCAAAAGAGGATTTTAATGGAAGTTCAGTCTATTGGCAGTTGATATGGGCGAATATAATAGACCGAGTTCAACCAAGACCGCGATTAGTTTCGCTTAGCGACGAATAGCATTAGTGACGAATGGCGTTCGTCGCTGAACGAGTCTCGATTGAATTTGGTTATATTAATCGTCAAACTAACGATTTTGAAATTTTTCAAGTTAAATCGTTGATCGAACGTCCTTTTATTCCTTTCGCTTTTATAAATCGTCGATTAAACAGACCTCGCTTGAATTTCCCCGAATCGATTAGTTGAATTGAGACACACTCAAATTGGTTATTCCAATTAGAAAAGTTCGATCGACTTTTTTACAAACTTGTACTGTGAAGTTTCCGTCAACAACGTTATAGTGGCGTTTACTACGAGAACGGATTTCCTGACGAGCTTTTCTCCCTTGCAATTACAGTCACACGTAGCAGACATTTTTTTCCTCAATGCATAAATAATTATGATAAATGCGTTCTGTAAATAAGAGGACACTCGATATTATCGTACGTGGCCGTTGACGTAGTGTTATGCTTTGTGTACGCCTTGTATATTTTGTAACGCTTTGCTCCATATAATAACTGGAATATATCAATAACGTACGCTTTTCGATTACGTCGGAGTTAATTTTCTTTCGCTTGAAATAAAACCGCAAAATGTTCGTCGCCAGTTTTATTATAATTGCCATGTCGAATGTCGGAGAATCATAAAGATTGAACGATCCTACCTGCCCTACATAATATGGCTATACATATACAGAGTGTATAAAAAGTACCGAGGCGGCGAAAATATCTCGGAAACTAAGCATTTTAGAAAAAAATGTTTCAGACAAAAGTTGTATGGTTTCAAGTATGGAACATAAAACAACTATATCATTTTGTTTACAGATGCCACTTTCGAGATATTCACTGATTATTACTTTTCTTAAATGGAAACCCGAACTTTTTATTACATCATCTTTTTCTACCAATTAATTTGAACAATTTTTGTCCGAAACATTTTTTATCTGCCTAATAGTTTTTGAGATATTTAAGGAAAATTTGATAACCTTTTCAATATTTAACTTGCGATATCTCGTAAACTATTTATCGAAAAAAATATTACTAGACTCTTTTTTACTTTACTTGATCTCAAGAATATATTGTTATATAGCGCTCTGACTTTTGTTAATTTGATGATTTTGAAATTTCCAAAGGTCGATAAGTTAATAAAGTTAAAACACTTTTCCCTTGAAACCATACAATTTTTGTCTGAAACGTTTTTTTCTAAAATGCTTAGTTTTCGAGATTTTTCGCCATCTCGGTATTTTGTATACACCCTGTATATATGATATATCTGTTTCCCTAATTTAAATTATTTTTAATAATTAATCCTTAAAAGCTACATTAAATATCCATCCAAGTTATCTTTTTTTGTTATTATAATATTATATGAGAATTGATCCGTCTTATCGTAATATTGTCCCTACTGATAATATAAATAAATACCTATAAAATTAATATTGTCAGTGTGGTTACGTTTTTTAATAAAATAAAAAATTCGCATGGGATGAAATTTCATCCACAGTAGCCTTTAAAGGTTAACTAATTAAATAATTACGTAATAACTTAATAATTTTTCCAATAAGCGATCGAAGATCGTCTCTACAGCGAGGGAAAACTGTTTGCGGTATTCGTGACTGTAATGGCACATTGAAATATTTATAGCCGGGGAAAGCATTCTTGTAACAATCGCTACTATAGTGTTAGCGACAATCGTCTTATGTAGCTAATTTTACATAGTATTTTATTTTATGTAACATTTTGATCTCATGTAATAATTTTATTTCTCTTGTACGAACAATGCCATATCTGTTCGTTAAGACTTGGATTATTTTTTATTAGCTTCTTAGTCTCACCGATTGTTTAGCAACATCTGCTAATTCCATGAAAATGACTGTAATTTCCGTGAATCATCTCTTCCGCTTGGCGTAAAAAGAGACAAAAAAGACAACTCACATTACACGACAGTTCTACAACGTCCCACTTCGTCCGGCTTCTTTCCTTCCGGGCAGAATGAGGGCGCGTAAATGATATTCCTGGAGCCGATGAGCGGAATCCTGTCGGGCATCACGATGTCGGGCATCACGATGCCGTCCTCATCGATCTCGCGCATTCTTTCGCTCGATTCGTCGTATTCCAATCGAGCCGAGTCTTTCTTCCCGTTGGTCGCCGCCGCGCTAATTCGATTCGTGACAGAAAAGCCGTGCAAGATTATTACGATGTTACCGAGTGTTGCGCCAAGACGCGACTCGGATCGCGCGCTCGTTCTCGCTCTTACGTACTTGTAATTATTCATGAGGTACTTGTAATACATCCAATAGTACCAGTTGTCGGTCGGTCGGTCGGAGATCCTCGTTACAGAAACCTTCCTCGGCGCTCGCTGACCACCATATTGCGCCGTCTTCCACTTGTCCGACACATCGTTCAGGTTGTTCGCTGGATCCCCCGGCGACGTCATCGTCGACGAGGTGCTGAACGTCGAGATGCTGACGATCGTCGCGATCAACAGCAAAACCCGAGGGACGTGGCCGTAGGAGCGCATAGCGGACGACAATCCACGCGCGATATCGATTTTTAGAAGGGAAGAAAATAGACAAAAGAGAGAGAGAGAGAGAGAGAGAGAGAGAGAGAGAGAAAGCAAACGAAAGTCCCGTCGCCTCGGCTCGTCGTATCAGGACGCGCTGCGCGATGCTAATGACATTGACGCTCGGCCCGACGCACGATACGCGCTTCGCCGCTGTGAATAGTTGATAATCAATAACGATCTCTCTGGCTGTGCGCGCCACTATTATCGCGTTATCGCACGCAGCTGGCGGTGATTTCTGCGGATTGAGTGCCGGATGAATCGCCCGGCCGGCCGCGGCGGATGGAATCGCGCGCGCGGGGGTTCGATTGACGATCCGATCCCGAGTCCTCGAGTTCCTGGCGCACTTTCAGCGCGGCGGACGCACGGCGGACGACTGGTCCGGTGGAAGCGCGAAATAATTAGTCCTCCCGCGTCTGTGCTCGCAAACTTAGCCGCAAGACTAGCGGCGTTCCGCCGGGCGCTCGCGAGCGAGCGAGCGCGTTTCCGCCTTTGCGGCCGCAGCGCAGCGCGCGACCGCAAATGTAAAATTAAATTCGTGCGAGTGGATGGGCGCCGGGGGCGATTAATGCGATTTAATGACGGCGCGACAAACACGCCCGCCGTGAGATAAGCGAAACAGCTGGCTGATAAGAGCAAGACCGTCGCCGCCGCGCGGAAGCGCGACACTTGGCGCGCGTGCGCGCGGATGTGGTGAACACCGTGGACATAATTAAAAATAGGCCGGCCGTCGGAATGTCCGAAGGCGCGAGTCCTGAAGATCATGTTGGACAGGGGGAGAGAGAGAGAGAGAGAGAGAGAGAGAGAGAGAGAGAGAGAGAGAGAGAGAGAGAGGGAGGGAAAGAGAGAGAGAGACAGCCTTCGCCTTTTTCTCTATCTGATCTCTCCCGTCCCTTTCTATCTGATCCTCGTTGCTAAACCATTGGTCATGTTCAGTCTGTTCTTATTATGTCCGCGGTTAACCCTAATTAGTCGTAATAATTCACGGCGGCCCCTCGGCGCGGCCTCGCTAGCAGCGGATCGCGGCCGCACTTGTTCAATCCTAATCCGGCGTTTTTCATCGTAAATCCACGTGCGATTTAATCCTGACGTCGGCTTCTCTCTCTCTCTCTCTCTCTCTCTCCGATTCCGAGCTCGCGGCCATGTGTTTTTCGCAGCTGCAACGTGCGCGTTTTATCTCGTCGCGCGACTCTCCCCGGACGACGGTTCCGCGTGACAACGACAATCGCGTATTCTTCTTACTCGTTCTCATCCATTAATCGCGAGGATTACTTAATGTCGGAATCTTCTCGGTCTCTGACGTAACCGCGACAATTAATTCGAAGGCTGCGCGTCGATTGTTGCGCCTGTGTTGTTTGAACAGTCCGCCGGACTTCCCAATGAGGCTTTAATGTTCGCCCGGCTGATTTTTCCGATCGTTTTCTGATCGTGTCTGCATGCAATATGATGCAACGCGATACAATACGCTGTATCGAATTGCCAGGGTAACAATTAGCCAATTAATTAACGATTGTTAATACATGTGCGTACTCGGAAGCAATGACTGGACGACTGATGCAAACTAATGATTCTCTTTGATCTCCGGTGGATTTTCACGATCGGGAAGACCACTTCTCGAAAACAATTCGTTGCACGGATTCGTCGGAATGAGTAACTCCGTTTACCATTGATCGAGAAGTAACGAGTCTCGTTACGTTTTTTCCACGACTTTCTCACCGAGACACTTTTGAGTACATTTTTTCGTAATTCGCCGTTGCCCATTTTTTACATAGCTTTATCTTTCATGTGTAAAGTAGCGAAGGAAGAAATATTCATTACCGCCGGCGTGAAGATGCAATTGCGTTGTCGTTGTCATTATCAGTGAACAAAGCAACGTCGTCGGTGAAATTAACTTCCGACGATAACGCCATTAAGCGTAACGCGTTATTCCTCGATCCTGAATAAACTTCAAGGCTTCTTCGTCGGAGCTTAGTGTTCTACGAGAAAGAACCGACGTAGTTCTTGAAATGAAAAAAGAAAAAAAAACACACATGCAACACGCGCGTAAGAAGACTGCATGGAGGGGATCGGTCGATTTAATCTCTACAATAGAAACGTCGGCGGGGAGCTATTCTACTAGCTGTATCTACTCTGTTATCTGCTACAGGCTAAATAACGATTACGCAAGACAATGTCGCAACTGTGTCGCGTGTCAGTGGAATTAATCCGTGTGTTGTCGAAATACAGGACGCATTTGAAATGTACACGTGTCCGTTACCTGGTGACATTGTTTTATTTATAAAATGGAACAGCTCGATATATATTTTCAGTGTATTGATATCCTATGGAAGAGCGAGGCGGGTAAACGGAATGCGATTTGGTCGTTTAGTCTTTCGCTCATTCAAAACCTCTTGCGATAGTCTGCAACAGAAAAATCACGCAAAGCGTTAAGTATTCAAACAGTGCGATAGTGCAACTGAATATTCATTTTGCGTATGTTTCGAAAAATCGGTGGGAACATCTGCAAGTTCGGATCGGAAGCTTCTTTCTTTCGTTTTGGGGAAAAAAGTGTTCACTCACATGAGGGGTCTGCAGATTCCTTTACTGTCCATCTCTTGGCCTTCCGGGCAGAATGGTGGCTGCATGATGATATGCTCCAGTTGATTGAACTTCTCACGCTTTGCAATCTTATCCTGCAGTCTATCCTCCTTCCTCTCGTCTGCCGCCGAATGCGTCTTCGCCGCGAATTCGCTGTCAATTGATTTGTGATAAAAGCCGCACTGAGATAATTAACTCTAATGTCAGTTAACTGGCAAGGAAGGCCGGACAAGCCACAAATCCGGAAAAGTTTGCGCAAAGCGAGTACGCGCCAGCTTAATGATACAGCTATTTTTTATTGCAGAGGCAAAGCCAGTACACAAGGAGTAAAAATAGTCCTTCAGAGAAAATATAATTTTTTATATTTTTGCTAAAGTTCTGAGACTATAAAATACGCGAGACAAGTGTTAAACAAAATATTTAGAGAGTAGTACTTTATATAGGATGTATAAAAAGTATCGGGATGGTGAGATATCTCGAAAACTAAGCATTTTAGAAAAAAGTGTCAGACAAATGTCTTTCAGACAAAAGTTGTATGGTTTCATAAAATAATTATATCATTTTGTTTACAGACGGCGGCACTTTCGAGATAATCACTGGTCATTACTTTTCTTAAATGGAACCCTCAATTTTTTATTCTTTTCTACCAACTAATCTTTTCTACCAATTAATTTTAACAACTTTTGTCTGAAATATTTTTTAATTTGAACAACTTTTGTCTGAAATATTTTTTTAATTTGATGATTTTGAAATTACTAAAGGTCGGTAAGTTAACAAAAGTTAGAGCATTATTTTAACAATATGTTCTTAAGACCAAATAGAATAAAAAAGTTAGTATCACTTTTTCTTCCGACAAATAGTTAACGAGGTATCGTAAGTTAAATATTGAAAAGGTTATCAAATTTTTCTTAGATATCTTAAAAAATATTAGGCAAATAAAAAAAATGTTTCAAACAAAAGTCGTTAAAATTAATTGGTAGAAAAAGATGATATAATAAAAAATTGGGATTTCCATTTAAGAAAAGTAATGATCAGTGAATATCTCGAAAGTGGCGCCATCTGCAAACGAAATGACATAGTTGTTTCATGTCCCCCTTGAAACCATACAATATTTGTCTGAAACATTTTTTTCTAAAATGCTTAGTTTTCGAGATGTTTCGCCGTCCCGGTACTTTTTATGCATCCTGTATACAGAATGAGGTACCTAAAATAGGCCGCTTAAAACAGGCCAGTTGTATAATTTTGAAAATATGCAAGATAAAAATGAATGTTACATGTAAAAGTTGTAAGGTTTTAAGCGACGCATCACATAGCAATACTAGTATGACTTCTGGAAATTTCAAAGTCATCATGTTAACAAAAGTTAGATGTAACTATTGTAACATCATATTCTTGAGACCGAAGGGAATAAAACAATGTCTAGTACTACTTTTTCTTCCGACGAATAGTTATCGAGATATGATAAGCCAAATATTGAAAATGTTGCCAAGTTGTTCTTAAATATCTCAAAAAATATTATGGAAATAAAAAAATGTTTCAAACAAAAGTTGCTCAGATTAATTGGGAGTTTCCATTCAAAAAATTCAAGATTCAAAATCTTTCCGTAACCTCGATGACGCTGTTCAAGATCATACTGGTATCACTACGCGATGCGTCACTTAAAACCCTGCGACTTCCATATTTGACATTTTCTCTGTCTTGTATATTTTCAAAGTTATTCAAAGTTATTCACCTGTTTTAGGTGCCTCATAATCACCCTGTATAATTTGCGACGTTGTAGCGAGAGATGTCGAGAAATAATGTTTCGAGAAGCATTCTTAATCTTGAGACACTACAGTGTAACTTATTCTCATTACAGTGTCGCATAAGATATAAAATATTTAAAAAAATGTTCTAGTTGCGATGCATTTGTTCCATATTTTTGCAAAGATTATAGCAATCGCCGAGTCTTCCTTGTAACATGACACGAAACATTTGACGGAAGCGCCGCTACGTATTCGAGATGTCAAATAGTGATGTCACTTATTAAATCGGTGCATACCGGTTTGGTGACATCACTCTGTTGATTGATACGTACTCAAGATTTTGGTCGACGTATTCAAAGTTATCGACGAGCTCAGACTTGTGGTCTAAAACCTGATTCTCTCTCTGCTTTTGAGGCTCCGTTCGTACTTGGACCTCCGGGTTCACCATCCTCCACCTGTCCGACAGATCCTGCAGGTGTATATTCCAGATCATATGTATGGGCTTCGACGAGATCCTGGGAGACAACTCCTGCGTCTCGACGATCGCCGACGACACAGAGAGGTAACTGATCGAGATCGACAGGAGAACAAGGTCGCGTAGAGGCATGACGACCGATGCTTTCCGGACGTTTGAGACGAGTTGGAAAAGAAGAGAGAGAGAGAGAAAGCAAACGATTTATCGTATTTTCGTCGAGCTGGCGTACTTGCGAAGACGGTATATCGGCGACTGACTAAAGTGCAATATCAGTCTCGTGATTTTAACTAATCACGAGACACCGCTCTCTACGGCCGACATCCGGCCGTCCTACCGCAGTGCATCCGCAAATGTTGAGATTATATTCTCGAACTGGATAGGATTATTGGAAGGCTCATTCCGACTGAATGGCAGCGCGACAAACGTATCGCCCGTGATACGCGACTGATAAGGAGCATTGAAGGAAAAAGAGCGTGGATGTGGTTAACTCTCGTTTAATTATCCTCAGAACAGGATGCGCGCTATCAACAAACCGAGCCTCCCGGAAAAGAAGAGGAGAGTAGAGGAAAAAGGAAGAAAGCGAAGAAGCGACAGAGTAGAAGAAGAGGAAAAAGAGGATGAAGAAGGAAGGAAAAGTCACGAATTCGCCTACTCGAATTTCCGATTTCTGGTTCAGAAAAGTGATAAAATCACATGAAAACTAATAACAAAATATGCTTTTCCACGTAAAAAAAAAACCTGATCTTTCAGAATCTGGAGTCATAATTTTGGAATTATCAACTGATAATTAAATATGACGGCTCAAAGTTGACAAAAATTTTTTCATCAACTATGAGCTCTTTACCGTGGAGAACTTCGAAAAATTTTGTCCAGAGCTGTCAGGGACAATTGAATTGACAGAGTTTGGCTACTCGAGGGATAAACAATGATTATTGATTTTATTTTTCAACTGATTCAAGATGGTGGATGTAATATGGCGTCTAAATACACGAAAATCATACTTCATTGCGATTTATATTGTGTGAATAGTCATTTCTTATGTTTTTGAGGTTGCTGAACACGAATCTTAGATCCGTTTCCAATTTTGCAAAATGGCGGATACAATATGACGTCCGAGTGCCACGAAAATCATACTTTATTGCGAATTATGTGTGTGGGTACTCATTCCATATATTTTTGAGATCGCTGAACCCAAATCTGGAGATGTTTCCGCATGGGAAGAATGCATGTTCCTCAAAAAAATCTGAGAATGGGTACAAGATATTTCGTTTTGGTACGTGGAATGTAATGTTATTCATAATCATCATTATATATTGACGAGTGTCATACTGTCTTCCTCAAAATTATCTATTATATTTTTTCTGAATATTTCCTTCAATATATTGGGTCTGCATCCATGCGCGTACATTATTGGTATGTTCAACATAAATGAACTTATCGAATTATGATTCAAGACTCGATCTTTTGAACTGCGACTCTACCTTCATCATTCCCGTTAATTTTAAAGTTGTCTCACCGATCTTAGGCCGCTGCTTGTAAATAGTACTTCTTTAGATTCTAAAGATATTTTATGAATAATCATATTATTCATGTGATTAGAAGAACATTCTTCCCATGCGGAAATATCTCCAGATTTGAGTCCAGCGACCTCAAAAACATATGAAATAAGTACCCATACACACAGTGTTCGCAATGAAGTATGATTCTCGTGACATTTGGACGCCATATTGCATCCGCCATTTTGCAAAATTGAGAAGTAATGGGTTAATAATGCACAAAGCGAAGAAGCAAATAACTCCGCTCAGCCATCTCACGCGAGTCGTGCGTCCGATCGATAATTATTTCAAAGGCTCGCCGGCGAGCTTCCGCGGGATCGCACGAACGGCGATAACAAGGGCTGTCGCTCGTGAGAAATGCGATAAAGCGCGCAGTCGGAATTCTTCGCGATCGACATCTCGCCCGACGTCGGTGAGCCGCTCGTGACGCATCGAGATATTTGCATTTCTAATTAACAGCGTATCAAATCGATGCGTATCTATACGCACTAACGATCTGTAATTCAGTTATGGGATTAGCGTCGCGCTATAAATCACCATTAATTAGATCGATATCGCTGCCGCGCTGGTCCGTTGCCATTGCTTAATTCGTTAATAAATCTATCGATCATCGTCTCGCACCGGCATAAATTAGCAAATCAGCCATCAATTATTCTTCAATCGCGATCGGGCAAAACCGCGCCGGCGCGGCCGATCCATAAATTGCCAGGCAGAACTCGATTCCGGCTGTTCGTAATTTTCAGAATCATCGAGCCGCTGAAAGCAAAACCACGATCGCGCGCTCGACCGACCGACCGACCGGCCGCGTTTTCCGGTGCGCGGTGATCGTTCGATCGGCTAAACCGATCCTCGATTCCTCGAGCGTCGAGCGCGCGACTTTTCCGAGACTCGTCTCGAGCGTGAAAAGTCTCCCTCTATCCTTTATCTCCACTCCGACGACGAACGAATCGTGAATTTTTCTCGTTAATCCCGGCCATCTTGGATTTTCAGTCGACGTGAAATTTGTCGATTGTGATAAATAGCGTGAAAAAAGCACGCGCGATCTCGCCCGTGAAATCCCTTTTAAGCGCGGCAATGCGCGCGGCTGAATGACAGCGCCGAGAGATATCGATGCTGCGCATACACAAGCCGATTGGTTGCGTTTCGGAGTTCCCGCACGTGCACACACCGGGCTGTAATGTGTGACCGACGGGCGGCCTGAAATAATTTTCGACCGGCGACGGTCCCGCAGGATTTATGGCGGCGAGATCGACCGGACGTGCGGTCGTCTCGGCCTGTCGAGCAGCCGCGATTGCGAGAGAATCGCGGATATCACGAGGCTGCAATTTTACAAAAGAGGGACAGAGAATGAGTGAGGGGCGCAGAGAAGGAAAGAGATAGATAGAAAGAGGGGGGAGATAGGGTAGAAAGAGAGAGAGAGAGAGGGAGAGAGAGAGAGAGAGAGAGAGAGAGAGAGAGAGAGAGAGAGAGAGAGAGAGAGAGAGAGAGTAGGGCAGAGTAGAGTCAAGCAGAATTTATTTCAATCTTGGAATCATAAAGCCCTTTGGGGTTACAGTTAGTTAACACGCATTGTAATGAGTGCCAAAGTCGATCGATGCTTATTAACAATAGCGCAATGCTCAACATTAGAAAAGGAAAATTAAACAAGTCTGAACATAGCAATCAAACCGGAGACTGATACAACGAAAACTACATCGCATAATATGTTTATGTTAGAATATTGTTTAAGAACATAATATAATCAAATGAGGATGTAAAGGTGGTGCACACACCGATATTTCAGCATATGCTAGCTAGCAAAAGTATATAAAAACAAACATATAAGATATATTTTTCTTGTCAAACTATTATATAATAAGAAGAATGGCACAAACGGCGACTTACCATTAGAGCATAAAGCAATATAAAAAAATGAGAAAACTTAAGGCTATAAGAAATGAGAAATTGTCCTTTGCACATAAATAACTTATAAATAACTTAGCCATTATAATTATTGTTAATAACATTTAGAGGAAATGGTTAGAGAAATCATCAAGAAAAATATATATAAATGGAAAGAACAAAAAGTAGTTGTGGACGACTATCACGTGGCTTCGTTGCAATAATGATAATTTGAAGAGCGCAAAGCGTGTCAACTATAATTGAAGGATAAAGAGTTGTAGTTAAAAGAGTAACTTACAATAAATGTTAGATAAATATTAGAGTTTTCGAGGGTTAATGATGAATGGATTGTTTATTATTTATTATTTATTATTTGAATTACTTCAATCAAAATATTTCCTACCGTTTGCTAGAGCTTTTTCACATCTTTTTTGACGATAAGTGAGTTGCACCGTAGAAGGAAGACTTATCTTTAGAAGCAAACTTTCAAAATTAGCCGAAACATCAAATATTATTTACACGCACGCAGGCCATTACGAAGCGGTTTCGAAGGCTATTCTCAGTATTTCAGTGATAGTAAGCAGTGATAGTGCACGTTTGAAAATTACAGAAGGAGACATCGGTAATTGCACCTGGTAGAGAGATCCAAAAATAGAGAAATGATCTAGGCGGTATAAACAGTCTTTTATTCTTCAAACAAACTTCAAGAAATAAAACTTCAACCAATAAAATATAGGTTTACGTATGTCAAAATAACACTGGAATTTATGGTGTAAAAAGTAAGAATAAAGATATAAGTGAATTCAAGTCTGCAAAATGGTAGAAAGTAAACTATCCTACGTAAAAAGTCTTCTGCATCCAATAGAAGCCAAGTCTCCTTCGTGCGATACGGAATTGTATGTTCACTCAATCAGGAGTTCTAATAGTACTCGAGTACTCGAAGGAAACAAGGAGTACTCGGGTTTGTATACTCGCAAAACTGTTAATGTCTAATTGCCTTAAATGTATTAGTTGCTTTTTACATAAATTTTCTTTATTTTCATAAAATTGTGGTCTTCATTTGAATCGTGAAGCCTACGAGCTGATAAATAGAGCGACAAAAAAGAGAATAATAAATAGATAGAGAGAGAGAGAAAGAGAGAAGGGAGGAGAAACGCTGTCGATTTAGCTATTCGCATGTTTCAGCATTTTATATCTACTATACGCATTATTATTCCATCACTTTTGCGTTTTTGGCAATTTTATCGCTGACGAATTGCATCGTGTTTTGCAGCGAGTGGGTGGTTAAAAGTTACTAACATCTACCATTCCTTCTGTCAATATTTGAACATGCATAAATAAACCATCATAACGAAATGCCGATGGTGTGACGAAACTTGATCGATGATAATATTTTTCCAATGAACACATCATCCGCGCCGCGAAATAGATCCAGTGGAAAATGATTATAAATTAAAATTTATTATCCACCCGACGCCTTTCTCTGCTCTCCTCTTCTCAAACCGAAAAAATGGCGTATAACGCGAGGGCCGCTCGCAGCGTTGTTTGCGTACGAGGGAAATCCCCACGACAGGGACTCGCGGGGATAAAACGTCCAAGGGATCATTTCCCATTAAAAAAAGGAAAAAAGATTCGGAAATTAGAAATTTGCGAAACACGCTGTACGAAGGGAGAAATTACGAGGCGCGAGCGCCATTCTCGTCTCGAGGCTGACAAACACCCGAGCAAAAAGTTGTCAGGGCTGCACTCATGAAGCATAGGGCCCCGATAAGGCTGAAAGTAGGATGTCTTAAAAAGGAATGCTTCATTATTATCACATCAGGCCCCGAGATGGATCTTTCAGGGATAACTTAGATTTTACGAAATATAAATAGGCTTTGATAGAGAAAACTGATGAGGACCTTAGAAGGATCTTTTAAGAAGATGTTTTAGGATATACAAAATCAAGTTTTGTTGTAGAAAATTAATAAGATCTGAAGGATATTTTAAAGATGTTTTAAACATATAAAATCAAGTTTTGTTATAGAAAATTAATAAGATCTGAAGCATGTAATAAAATTATCGTAGTTTAATATTGTTTTAGTAGATACGCTCTATCTGATTTTTTTTTAATTCTTTAATTATACCGCAATTAAAAACAAATTTTATTAGTTTTATTAATTGACATATTCATTAGTCTCTTTCAAGGATTTTTCTAGTATTGCCTTCGTTTTGGAATGCAGCGAACTTTAATAAAAACAATAGCAGGATTTTTATGTGTAAAAAATGCTATATTTTATTTTAAAGTATGCTACTTTTAAAGTAAAAAAATTCTTGTTGTATACTAACAAGGTTATAAAGAAATAAAGAAATTACAGCCTAAATTTCTTGGAATGAAAAGAAAGAATATTTTTATTCAAGCAATAATAAAAATATTTCCTTATAAGGCCCTATTAATATTGCCTTATAAGGCCCTGTTGGTATAAGGCCCTCATAATATTGTCATATAAGGACCCGTTAAATCATTCGTACACATTTCGTAGGACCCTTGTCTTTCTGTCCCTACTAAGGCCTGATTAATGTTAGAGAAAAATAATCAGGCTTTTACCAGAGCTCTATTAATTTTTCTACTCGGGTAGCAGAGAATGTATCGATGCAATCTTTCAACGAACTCTCATGCGCGTTTTGCGATTATAGGCGGAGTGGAGAAGACGCAGTACGGCCAGCTGCCAAAGCCGGTAGTGAGCCGCCACGGGTTTGAAGGCTGCCTGGCGTCGTTGGACCTGAGCGGCGAGAGCACCGACCTCAACACGGACGCTGTGGTGCCGAGCTCCCAAGTCATAAGCGGATGCGACGTCTACACGAACTTGCATCCGGGGAAGAAGTGCACTCACGACCTCTGCGCGAATCACGGCACGTGCGTGCAACAGTGGAACAGTTACACCTGCGACTGCGACATGACCAGCTTCACCGGGCCGACCTGTAACGACGGTAATGAGCGGGGCTAACGGCAGAAGAGGGGGGCGCTTGTCGATTAACTTCGTGGATATGTGCCCCGACAATCTCGTTAGTTGTGTCATTTCTCCAGACGACGACGTGTGAACGTCCCCGCGTCCTTGTTACTCCCGATCTCTTATTTCGGAAATTTTGTTCGCGCGTTTCTCGTATTAATGCAATTGTCATTTTTCGGAAGAAGACAGGAATATGCACGCGCGCGCGCGGAGAAACGACTCATTGGAGACATCAGTGTTTCGCTCGTGCAGAAATAGCGGAGACATCTCATTGCAGGATATAAGGGACACTTTTTATATTTCGTTTCTCGCGCGAGCGCTCTCGGTAATGTTAGCCTGTCATTTTTCGCCAGCTCTTTGCTCCGTGCGTATAAAGCGTGTAAAACATTATATACAGGGTGTCTAGAATCTCTTGGGAACGAAAAATTATGAAGATTAATCAGATCAAACTGAGAAGAAAAGTCAAGTACAATTTTGCAAAAATCGCAATATTTATTAATGATTTATTAATGAAAACGACCACGATTTAGAAGCTTTTTAATTGGTAACTTGAAAATTTTCTTATTTATTTGCAAAATGGTAAAACTCTTTTCTTCAGAACGATCTAATCTATTAGGTTGGTGCAAAAATAATTGCGGCTTTCATCATTTTAAGTTTGGCGCCGATTTTTCTAGAATTATCGTTATCTTTTTCAGAATTCTATCTTGTAGGAATAAACAAATTTGTTTCCGGTTGGAAGAAATGTGTACAGGCCAATAGTCTTTATTTTGATTAATAAATATAATTTTTAATTGATGCGTCTTTATACTCGATATATAAAGACCGCAATTATATTTGCACCAACCTAATACAATTATATGACGGCTTTTGTGTCTAGCGATAGATATTCAGTATATTGAACTTTGAATCCTGAATATTGAATCTGTTATTAGACACAATGGCCGTCATATAATTGTAGGTTAGATAATTCTGAACAAAATATCCTTTACCGTTTTGCAAATACGTTATACAAATTTTCAAGTTATCAAAACAAGTTATTAAAAGAGCTTTTAGATGTGATCATTTTTAATCATTAATCATTCTAGTACTAGATTTGGAATAGTATTAGACTTTTTTACTCTACTTAGTCTAAAAAATATATTGTTGCCCTAACTTTAATAGTGCCCTAACTTTTGTTAACTTATCGACTTTTGAAAATTTCAAAATTATCAAATTAACAAAAGTCAGGGCGCTATTGTAACAATATTTTCTTGAGACCAAATAAAGTAAAAAAGTCTAGTGTCACTTTTTCTTCCGACAAATAGTTAGCGAGATATCGTAAGTTAAATATTTAAAAAATTGTCAAGTTTTCCTTAAATATTTTAAAAAATATTAGGCAAATAAAACAATATTTCCGACAAACTTTGCTCAAATCAATTGGTAGAAAAAGATGATACAATAAAAAATTGGGGTTTCCATTTAAGAAAAGTAATGATCAGTGAGTATCTCGAAAGCGGCGCCATCTGTAAACAAAATTATATAATTTTGTTTTATGTCCTCCTTGAAACCATACAACTTTTGTTCGAAACATTTTTTTCTAAAATGTTTGGTTTTCGAAATAGTTTACCGGTCCAGGACTTTTTAGACACCCTGTGTATTTTTTTCTGAGTTACATCGCCGTTCGCGCAAAGTTATCGGAGTGCGCGCGCTCTATTGCGTTATTGGATTATCCTTCCTACGATGTAATAAACATTACAGGGATGTAAAACTATCTCATAGTTCGTATACAACTATCGATTTCGCTCACCGGAAGTTGAACGTTATTTATTTCTCTCCTTTTCTCTCTCGGAAAGCCAATCGCCCGATTATCGGCGAAATTCTTGAGTGAGGTAGAAAAAATGTCGGAAGCGAGATTAAAACCCGAGAGAGAGAGAGAGAAAGAGAGAGAGAGAGAGAGAGAGAGAGAGAGAGAATTAAATTAATTCAAGTTATCGATACGATCGTTATGGCTGACGAAGGCCACGCGAGCTTGGGCCATGACGAAATAGTTGCATAGGCGGCGGATGAAACTCTCATGTGATATTAATCGCAACAATGTTCTTCTTCCGCAGAGGCAATCGCCTATGAATTCGGCGCCGGAAGGGGCATTATCACGTATACCTTCCCGCCTGACCGTCGGCCGGAAATGAAGAGGGACACTGTGGCTTTGGGTTTCGTTACCGGTGCGAACGACGCCGTGCTGCTCAGGATAGAGTCCGCGTCGAGTAACGATTACCTCGAGATCGAAATCGTTAGTACACGTGACACGTGACACATACCGTCTAAATACTCTTCCCAGACAGCGTAACAGCGTCCAAGGAACATCTCTAATATGTTTGAAAGATATCCCGCTTGTTTCAGATGTCCCTTGGACGTCTCGAATATATTTTGCGGACATTTGCGCTATCCGGACTTGACTCGTCGAAAGATCGCCCGAGAAAGATCGCTCCCAAACAGCATAAATATCTGAAAGATGTCTCAGAGGCGTCTAAAAGAGATACCCTACTCGCTCTTTGAATGCCCCTTAGATATTTTATATATTTGTACCGTCCAGGCTGAAGTTAACGATAGATCACTCGAGCGTCACTCTCAAACAGCACAAACGTCTGAGGAATGTCTCAGAGATATCTGAAGGGTGTTCTACATGTTTTAGGCATCTCTCAGGTGTCTCGAAAATGTATTTTGAACATTCGCGCTATCTGTCGGTTTAAGTTAACGAAGATGAGGGAAAGAAATAAAATACAAGGTCCGCTTGTGCGCACGTTCCAGCGCCACGTGTTAACGCACACGTGTCGTGCGTCGTGCGTGTTTCGCTTTAATCCCGTGCGACGTGTCGGGCAATTAATTAAACGATAGTTGATTTATTCCTCTATCTTCGGATGGATTAATTTACGAGCTGTGATATTAGGCGACCCCGGAAACACAGTGAAAACGGTGCAGCCGCAATTTCAACGCGAAAATTTCCTGTCACTGTCGCGCGGACGATAAAATTCACGCGCGCACGTGATTAACAGTTAATTCCATTTAAATAATTAATCGCCGGCTAGTTTGTAAATTATATTACGAGTTTCGAGCAAATAATGATACAGGCGTAATAAGTAAACAATTTGCGTGCGCCGCGTAGCTTTATTAGCAAGCCAAATGATTATCGCGGTGGCGAATTATTGATACGTCAACGAGCCGCCACCTTGAATCGTTCGTCCCTGTTTGTGCGTTTTGCCGCGAGCCGTGAGCGATTGATTGAATTGACGACAGTTTTAAATATTTTCCAAACGACAGTTTCTCCCCCTCCGGGGCGAGCCTCGAGTGCGATTTTTCGAGCGCGCGATTTTTTGCCGGGTCACGTTGACTTTTCCGGTAACTTCTCGTTGGGACGCAGAGTGCGTAAATATTTCGCCCGCGCTATACAGCTGTTGTCAAAATGATTGTATTAAAATTCGCGCGGGAAATATATCGTCGCCTCGTATTTGCCCATTTATTTGGGAGAAAGAACGCGCGGAGAATATAGATACGCACGAAAATTGCGCCGCAAGAATGGAAAATAATACGCGCTGTTCCTGCAGGTGGAGGGCAACATTTTCGCGGTGTACAACATGGGCACCATAGATCACCCGATCGGCGAAGTTGGCGTCAAAGTCAACGACAATCAGTACCACGTGGTCAGATTCACCAGGACAGGGCCGAACAGCACGCTGCAGGTTGACGACTATAATCTGCAGTCTAATCATCCGACGGGTGAGTCCTACGCCTCGCAGAAATACCGCGTCACGTGCCCTCGAAGCTCGAGTGAAATTTCGTCGGAAGTGACACTCGTAGTTGGGTGACTTCTCACTCACGCGGAGTAAATTCTTCCAGTCTGACGAGCGAATCGTTTCGTTCGAAATTGAAAAACGACGCCGGCATAGCCCGCCGTCTCTCATCGGAATCAATTCACTCCGATCGACCGGAACGTTCTCACTCGTATGGATCGAGAATGCGCTCGCTGCGGCTGAATGAAACATTCACTCTCGTGATTCCGAGCGGCACTAGCTTCATTATCGTATCTCGAATAAGCTTTCTCTCGCTTTGCGAGGTGAGATCACACGGTGAAAAATTTTGAGGTCAACGCAACGTCGCCCGGCAGTCATTGAAGTTTATGTATGCGACGAGCGACAGTCGCGCCTGACTGCGCGTTCACTGATGAATATGAATAATTCTTAGAAATGCGCAAGCTTCCGACCTTCACATCCGTGGCCGAAAACAGCGAGTAAAAGAGCTCGACCGAGTTTACGAATTAGTAGATGAAAAGTCGCTCTTTGTGTGGCCGCGAAATATCGGCGATCGAGCAGATCGGCCGGATTACGTGCGAATAAACATAACGTGTCCGAAGCACAACGATGACCGAGAACAACAATCGCAATGGAACGGCAGCGAGAATCGGTAAGATCGCAAAAATCAGCATCACCGTGAGACGACGAAGGCGGCTTGAGGGCCGTCGACTAACTGAGAGGCCGAATGGTTCCCATGTGCTCTTTTATGACGAGCCTGATGCTCCGTGCCGTCGGCCATTGGCCTCCCCGACTATGGGAAACGACCTTGATGGGGCGTACACACTGGCTCCCACACCATTGTCTCGTGCTCTTCGGGAACACGAAGGCCGCTCGTTGCTGCCCGACCGTTGCGCGCGAAGGTGTCCCGCTCGTGCTGGGAATGATATATCGATGCGCCGGGAAATCGCTGTGGCCGGCCTGGGAACGCTCCCTCCGCGATCGCACCGCGCGATGCGCAATTGCCGATTCCGCAATTTATGCGATTGGGGACGCCGAGCTCCGCTCGGTCTATCATATTCGGCAGTTGAACCCCGCAATCTTGCAATCCACCTCGCGCTCTCCCGCCCTTCTCTCCCCCCCCCTCTCTCTCTCTTTCTCTCTCTCTTTCTCTCTCTCTCTCTCTCTCTCTCTCTCTCTCTCTCTCTCTCTCTCTCTCTCTCTCTCTCTCTCTCTCTCTCTCTCTCTTTCTCTCTCTCTCTCTCTCTCTCTCTCTCTCTCTCTCTCTCTCTCTCTCTCTCTCTCTCTCTATGTGTGTATGTCTTTTTAGTTTAAATATCAATAAATATTAGGAGGTTAAATTATATATAACTCTGGTCCCTAGTAATAAATAGCTTTAGTAACAAATTAATGGTTAGTACGAATGTTGAAATCCAACATCACTGAAAGATTTGACATTTCTCTATGATATATGACAGTTTGCGCGCTATTGTTATTGATAGTTTCATTGTTTATACGCGTCTAAAATGAATCGTACAAAATTGCATTTTTGACATTCATTACTTTTTTTGTTTGATTTGGAAAAATTAGCAATTGAAGCTCATGAAATATTTGTTACAACTCATGCTGATCAAGCTCCATCATATTCCAATTGTAAATTTTGGTTTCAACGATTCAAAAGTGGTGATTTCGATTTGAGTGACAAAGAACATACTGGTCGACCAAAGAAATTCGAAGATTTCTGAATCGCAAGCATTATCGAATGGAAACACCGCTCAGACGGAAAAACAATTGGCTGAACAATTCAATGTTGATAAATCAACAATTTCTAAACACCTACACGAAAAAATTCAAATTTAAATTCAAAAATTCATATTTTCCGCCATGGAACAAATTCAAAAGGAAGGCAAATGGGTTTCACATGAACTGAGTAAAAGTGCCATTGCAAGTCGCTTGAATATCGCCATGTCTGCTTGCCAGAAAGAAAAGAAGAGTTTTTTGTAGCGAATTGTAACTGGAGATGAAAAGTGGATTTATTTTGATAATCCAAAGCGAAAAAATCATGGGTTGATCCAAGACAACCATCATCGACACCAAAATGCAACATTCACAAGTCACAAAGCAATGTTCTGTATTTGATAGGATATGGAAGGTGTGGTGTACTATAAGCTTCTGAAATCGAATGAAATAGTTACGGGAGTGCGATACCAGCAACAAATTGAACAAATTGAATAATGAATTGATGCAAAAAAGGCCAGCGATAGCCCGCAATAGACGTAAAGTGATTCTTTTGCACGATAATGCTCGTCCACATGTTGCTTCAATTATTAAACAAACATTGTTAGAGCTCGAATGGAAGATCCTTCCGCACCCAACATATTTTCCAGGACCTAACATCATCTGATTATCATCTATTCCGATCGATGCAACACGTTTTGACAGATACACACTTCAATAATCACGAGGATGTGTAAAAATGGGTGTCTCATTGGATCGCTTCAAAAGACAGATCGTTTTATCGTCGCGGAATCGCTATGTTACCGGAAAGATGGAAAAAAGTCACAACGGAAAATATTTTGATTCATGTAAATTTAACCATTCTTTTAAAATACACGATTAAAAACGTTTCGTACTTTTGTTAAAACTTTTTATGTGTAAAAAGTTTTGTGCTAAAGTTTTTACACGGACATGTGTTAATTTAACATATCGTTGTTGTGTTACTTAGACTTTCTTATGTTAAATTAAGATTAACTATTTTCAAGTGTTAAAATAACACAATTTATATGTAAATGCATGGATTCTTGCTCCAACATATTTTATATGTTAAAGTCAACACCTAAAATGTGTCACTTTCTTCATTATAACAGTTATCATGTGTTACATTATATAAAGATTGGATTTCTAACATATAAATTATGTCAATCTAACATTTTCATTTCATCAAATCATAGATCATTATTTTTCCTAAATGTTGAAGTAATTCATTGTATGTCAATTTTACACAAACTGTGATTCTTGACGGCATTCAAATGTTAAATTTTTGTGTTAATTTTTTACATATTATGCGTGTTACCTTTTAACATATTTTTGCGGTATGTTAAATTAACATATAAATGAGAGTGGATGATTTGAGACACATGAAATATGTTAAATTTAACACATCATTTCTTACAATGTAAAGATAAAAAATTGACAAAATGAAACCAGAATTAATTCAATCTCCTCTATATATTACATCCCTCTCGGTGCAGATAGTCACGTATAAATTCAGCGCTTGCTACTTTCCTCAAAATACTTCACGCACGAGATGGAAGAAGAGACGTCGAAAGATGAAATTGAAAATTAATTTATCGCCAACTTAATTGCGTGATTTTTTATGTATATAGTGTTGCCTTTATCGGGAAAGGTGCTGTAGGTAATTCGCTTCGAAATATCCGAAAACGAAGTTTTCTGGACGTCTGACGAAAGTTGCTTGGAGTCGAGGAAGAGCAGGATAGGCAGAGAGTGAGAGAAAGAAAGAAAAGGCCGTTTCCCAAGAGCCGAAGGTTCCATCACCACGTGGAAGGGCGAGAGGGCCGGGTTAGGCCCCGGAAAATCTTCGGAAACCTACCTCCGTATGTTTCCTGATGCCTGGGTTTCCTCACCGGGAAATAATTAGCTCAATAATTAGCAACACATTTCCGCGCAAGAATTCATCAAGCCGTCCCGCCACCATCGTCGCTCTCCTAACGCTCTGGTATATCTTCGTAACTTTTAATTAGATATATTCATCGTGACGCACGTGCCACGTGCCACGCACAGCATCATCGTCCTCGTCGTTGTCGTCGTCGTCGTCATGTGCCCGTCGGAGCTTTTCGTTCCCTTAAGAAGATGAAATCCTGATGCTCGGCCGAGCGATCGAAGTTTCATCGATCGCTCGGTTGTGCCAAGTCCGTCTATTTGTTTCTCGAGCGGCCTTTGAAATTTCTACGCGTAACATGCCGTCCTGATAACTTGACCTTTAAAAAACGCTTTCGCTTTTCCATCAGAGCTGTGCTTACGAGGCGAAGCTGGGCACCGCGCGTTCGCGCCTCGAAAGAATCAAGCGCGAGAGAAAGAGAGAGGGAGAGAAAGATGGGAAGAGAGAGTGAGAGGGGGAGGCCAGGAACGAGGCCGACGAATTGGCCGATGAATTAATTATGAAAGGAATCGAGCGACCGCGATTCCGGTCGACAGTCGACGATAGAATTCTCGTTACACCGTCGTTTAAATCCCCTTCGTGCGGAGTCGCCCCCCCTCTCCCGGCGGCACATGCGAGCTGAATAAAAATCGTCACGAATCGACCTCGGTATTTTACACACATATACGCACGTAACTCTACGAACGTATTTCCGAAATTCCAAAGGCTAACGGATATTCGGGCCCGACGGAGGGACGCGACTCGTGGCACGAAGGGAAAGGGCCGAACGAAGGCTGAACGTGTGTGCATCGGGAACGGAGCAGCCGGGTAGGCTTATGGGGCACCATGAGAAAGCTTCTTGCAGCGGCATAGTATCCTGGCAATCATGGTTGCGCCTATGTTGTTTCTGCCCTTGGCGGAGCGCAGCGTGGACACGGAGCGAGCGGACAGAAGAAGGACGCAAGCGAAAGGGAGTGGTGCTTCGCACACGCAGGATGTCGGGGTCGGGGTCGGTGTGAAAATATCGCGCCAATCCTTGAGATTAGATACGTTGGACGTAGATTTCATCCGCGCGAGCGACGCGCGCTAAAGGGAGGATCGCGATATGGAGATTAGTCCGATTTCCCTCGATCGTATCGCTGCAGAAGAGTTGTCAATTATTGCATTTTTCCTACAAAAATCCTGCTAATTATGAACTAATTATTTTCCGCTGAGAGAACCGGACACCAGAAGACACGCGGAGGTTACCCAGCAATTTCCGAAGATTTTCCGGGGTCAGGTCTAGCCCTCCCGCTCTTCCACACGAAGGTGGACCCTTCGGCTTTTCGAAA